GGTGGGGACACTTCTCTGGGTGCTACCTTGTGAATAACTGTCTTGGGCTCCAGCATGTTTGGAACTCACTTGTCCCCTCTTATTGTTACAGTTGACCACTGCTTGCTAAAGCTTGAAAGTTGGTCTCAGAGGGTGACCTGGCTGGTGACTCTAAATTCTCTTTTCTAGAATTTTTGATGGTAGGAACTGTTGAGGTCATCTGGCACCCAGAAAGGCCTTGTGTGGTGGGTGTGTTGTTGAAGCCCTTGCCTTCAGGAAGATGGACCAGATGACCTAATAAAGTTCCTAATAAAATCTCCTGGCAGATCACCAGCCTCCTCCTCTTTAAAGTCTCACTGGGAAGGGAATATCCACAGACCATCCCTTGGTACTGCTCATTTCACAAGCCTCCTAGCAGGGAAGCTGGTCTTAATCCTTAATCCTTTCCACTATAATTTAAGGCCCTTTTCTCTTGTTGAGTGCAAATGGAGAACAGCTGCTCATGATCATCCTCTGACATCAGCAATTTCTCAAGATGACCCTGGAAGACAGGCTGGGGTCATTAGACCAACTTGGTGCTCAGCAAATATGTATTTATTCTTGCATGCTGGGCCACAGATTGGCTGGTTGGGCACAAGGAACAGCTCTAAGTTTATTAGGGTATTTCTTTACATATGTGTCTCTTGAAGTCTGTTTTATGCTCTGGACCCCAGAGAGCAGAGACCCTGCCTGTTTGACTGCTTTGAGATGGTTCTTCTATGGCCCACACTAAGGGAAATAGTTTTATGGAAGTGGCTGAGAGTTTAGATTTAGGCAACCAGTCCAAGGTGGCATCCAGTTGGAGCTGTCTGGCTTCTCTTTGGCCTTGGATGTGGCTCTATTTCTGGGTTCTCCTTTTAATCTGCAAGACTGGGAATAGTCCATGAAAGCATGTGGAATTTTGCCACCCTGAGGACTGAGTTGAGGGCAAGGGGAGGAGCCATGTGGGTTTGGCGAGCACATGGAGACTTTCCTGGCCTTCTGTTCCTTTAGAAAGGAGGCGGGGATGAAATATAATCAAGCAGTTAAACACCTCTCATCACTCAGGGCGGCAGTATCAACAAGAATGGAACAACAAAACCCAGGGCTGCTGGTGAAGTGCTCTTTCTCAGCACAGGTCTTCTTTGGCTCCTTCTCCCTCTCTTCTGTATCAGCATGAGGCTTAGAGAAATAAGGGCAACAAGGTTTGGGAACAGGTGAGTCAGAGTGAGAGAATTTCCAAGGCCAGATTTACTTTTGACAGGATCCTCACACTCTGAGCAGTGTGGCTTCTGGTTCCAGTGGCCCTGTCCTACACATCTGGGTCACTTTCCCAGAGGCAGGGGTGAGGGGTACCTCTGTTGATTAGAGGACTGAGGCCCCAGCTTGCCTGGGGCCCTTCTTGGGCTCCCTTTCTCCAGGAGTCTGCATTCCATCTGCCAACCTTCTCCTGGGGCGCAGGACAGGCTGAGGTTTATCAGAGGCCAGGATCAAAACTGTCCAGGTCATAAATCTCTCTCTGTGGCTGTCAGGCCCCAGGGCAGCTGAAGAGGGTTGACAGCCCTTTGGGCCTCAAAGGAAAAAATGTGCTCCACTCCACCCAGTCCCCTCTCTGCCAATAAGCTGTCCTCCCAAGAGCCACTGCAAACTAGTCCAGTCTGAAATGCTTGTTTGTGGTAGGAGAGAGAGAGAAAGCTGAGCCTGAAGGGGAGAGCGCCCGCGTGCTCAGTGTGTGTGTGGGGGTGGGGTGGGGGGTGGGGTGGGTGTTGTGTCTTCTCCTGTGTGTGTGCAGTGTTGTATGGGTGAATGGGTGAGGGTTGGGAGACTGAAACTCAGAGCCTCAAGCCCCCTTGAAAATTCTTGAACCCACCCTCTCATTTTACAGGAGAAACTGAGGTTGAAGGGCCTGTTCACACCACACAAGCAGTGGTCATTAGGGAGACCACACCATGAAACCCTTCTCCCCAATCCCAAGTCACAGCCTAGTATCCAGGTCTTAGGCACATGGGTTCATCATTGAGACATAGCGAAAAGGCTCCTAAGGCTTGGAAACTCCCCTTATCCTTGCTCTGTGTCCACAGAGCCAATGCCTGGAGTTTCTGTAGATGTTTCAGGGACTATGTGACTGACAGCCACCAAAGCTTGTGGAGAAAATGAGGTGAAGGCAGAGGGTTTGGGGAGCAGCTGGCCAAGGCCCAGGGGGAGGGCACTCTGAAGCCTGTGAGTGGCCTTTGCTAGTAAGCAGGAGGCCTGGAAGCTCCTGTTTGCCTCAGGACTCTGGCCACTTTGAAGATGGCTTTTTACCTATGGAGGATGGTGCTTTTAGGCAAATTGTCACCATACTCTCTCTTCTTCAAGTTTTCCCTGAGCAGCAAAAGTACAAATGAAGGAAATGACTATAGAATAATTTAGCTTAACCCCTTTATCCAGTCATAAGGAAAGGGAAGCCCAGAGGAGGGAAAGGATCCAGGTAGAAGGGGGAGATATGTGCAGAGAGGAACACTGGGATCTTAGTTTGGGATGCCAGATATCAGGGCTGAACTGATTCACACAGACGCATGCAAGCATTGCTATCAACAGATTGCATGTGGGCCTAAATAAAATGCATAAAAATATATGGCCATGATTTCAGAACAATGCCCCATAGATAAAAGTAGCTTTAAATCCCCCAGAAAGTGATAAAAAGTCAGTCCTTAACTCCCAGCAGCTCAGCAGGTCAAACTAGGTTTGTTTCTCATCTCACTTGTAGAGAGATGGCAGACAGTGCAATGGATGAGGACATGGGACCCTTGCTAGCTTTGACCTTAAGCAGGTTACCTAAGAGTTTCCCCATTTATACCAACCTCATGGGCAGATGAACAGATGGACATGATACCAGTTCTTACAGCAGTGCTGGGGACATGGTATGTGCTCAATCAATGTCCATTTTAACAAATGTTCTTTTGTTGGTGGCACTGGGGTTTGAACTCAGGGCCTCATGGTTGCTAGGCATGCCCTGTACCACTTGAGCCACTCCACCAGACTTCATAAATGTCTTGGGATTCTTGGTTCAATTCACTTTCAAAGGGACCTCAGTGGGCGGC